ATGTTTTTCTTCATTGAAGTCATTTATTTTTTCATGGCTCCTAGATCTGCAGTCACACTAGGAAGGTTTTCCAGCTTAGTGATTACAGAGGGCTCGAGGTGACACGGGAGGAGGGACTTGCGTGAGGCTCTGGGGGGGAGAGGCATGTGTGAGGTGAGCCCAGGTCGGGGCCATGTTTGACTGCAGCCGTGACTAGACTTGATTTCTGAAAACACTGTATCTGTGTTTTCTATTCATTCTTACTTCTCCTACCCCAAACTTATTTACTAGATTTCCTCCACAACTCTTAGCTTCAATATCTAGTTAGTCCTTTCTGTGACTAGTTCTTATTAATCAGAAGACATTGGAGAACTACCTTATCATTTTAAAAAAGTAGAAAAAGAAGGAGGGAGTGTTATGGAATAAAAGGGACTTAGAACACGTTACGAGATCTCTGGACCGTGCTTAGATCATGATTCAAACAGCCAACTGTAAAACATTTTGGGGACAGTTGGTATCATTCGAATGTGGCCTGGGTATTAATTTGTATCCAGGCTTCATTATTAATTTTGTTAGGAGAGATAAGGGCATGGTGTTTATGCTCTTTTTTAAATAGACTTTATCCATTAGAGAGGTATACCAAGGTGTTTATGGGTAAAATGTTGTGATAAGGGATTTGCTTTAAAATATTCCAGGAAGGGGAGCCTGGGTGGCTCAGTCGTTAAGCGTCTGCCTTCGGCTCAGGTCATGATCCCAGGGTCCTGGGATTGAGCCCCACATCAGACTCCCTGCTCCGCGGGAAGCCTGCTTCTCCCTCTCCCACTCCCCCTGCTTGTGTTCCCTCTCTTGCTGTCTCTCTCTGTGTCAAATAAATAAATCTTTAAAAAAAAAATATTCCAGGAAGAAGACTGTCAGTGGGGGAATAGGGTGTAGATGTAACCATATTGATAAAATATTGATCATTGTTGAAGCTAATTGATGGGTAATGGGGCTTAAGATTCTTTTTTCTACTTTTTGTATAAGTTTAAAATTTTCTGTAGTGAAAAGTTTAGAAGACTAAATATAAAATTATCATATAATTATTGTAGAAGACTGAAAAAAAAAAGAAAGTTCAAGAAAGTAAAGAGAACATGATCCCACCAGCCGGACATATCTGCTATTAACATTTATAATTTTCCAGTCTTTTTCCCATGTATAAATATATACATACACAATTTTTAAAAAAGAATGTCAAGGTCACTCAGCATCTAAAATGTCTGAGTTGGTATGTTAATCTTTCCATGAATATCATGCATAATAGTTCTCAACATCATGGTGGTTCCAGAGCATTTCAGCATATAGATGTATCATGACTTAACTGTATCACTGCTACTGGGCTTTTAGGTTGTTTCTCTTTTAAAGATTTTATTTATTTGAGAGAGACAGACAGAAATAGCAATAGAGATAGTGAGAGAGGACACAAGCGGAGAGGAGAGGGAGAAGCAGACTCCGCACTGAGCAGGGAGCCCAATGCGGGGCTCGATCCCAGGACCCTGGGATCATGACCTGAACCAAAGGCAGATCCTTAACCGATTGAGTCACCCAGGTGCCCCTTTTGGGTTGTTTCTTGTATTTCGCCCCTGTAAACATGAGCATCACTGTAGGTAAATGATTGTTCATATCCAGATGTAGTCGTTTGGGCCACACTCCTAGAACTGGAGTCACCGGGTCAGAAAGTACATGCGGTGTACAGTTTGATACAAATTGCAGGTGACCCTTCGGAAAGGTGGTACCATTTTGTACGTCCACCAGCAGTAAAAGGGAATGCCTGTTTTTCTGTACTTGCAAAGCCAGAGGACAAACAGGTTCAGAGCAGGAGCGAATACACGGAGTAATGAAGGGTAACTGTCGTACAAACGCATCTCTGACTCTCACGTTGGATACCTTATTGCCGGGGCGTGTAGGGGAAGGCAGGGTTAGCTGCAGTGGGCATCTGCGTGGTCACGTAAGCTTATGTTCTACCTATGAAGGGGCTTGGGCTTAAGGAGAGCCCCAGTGTCTCTGGTCCTGCAGGGGAACCCTCGATCTGGCCCAGAAGCCTGCCTGAGGCTTCAGATCAGTAGTATATATTGTGCATGTCATTCTCTAGTTTTTACGATATCATGTCTCTTAGACACTTTCCATAAATGGCTTGGCCTGTGTTCAGTGTGGCACTTCCTTGTCTAGGCATCCTTCTAGACAAGATCGCCCAGAAGGTCCCCTTTTGCACGTCTTTGAAGCTCAACACACCTTCCAGCTCTCAGCCTTGCTTCAGTATCTTTTGGGTTATCTTGGTATTATGGCTTGCTCATCAGTGTTGTTTATTGCAAAATCTCACACAACAGTTGTTTAAAACTGATCCGGAACTGCCAGTTTATATTTATGTCCGTGCTCGTATTCTGTCTTCCGTATTACTGCCTTGTTCTGTGCCATCTGTCAGTGATATCTCCGACTGTCAGAGGACATAGCTTTTTGTCTAAGGTTCTCTGACTTAGTGAGCTTTTCTTTAGAAACTCGGTTCAAGGGGCGCCTGGGTGGCTCAGTTAAGCGTCTGCCTTCAGCTCAGGTCATGATCTCAGGGTCCTGGGATCGAGCCCCACTTCGGGCTCCCTGCTCAGCGGGAAGCCTGCTTCTCCCTTTCCTGCTCCCCCTGCTTGTGTTCTCTCTGTGTCAAATAAATGAATAAAATCTTAAAAAAAAAAAAGAAACTCGGTTCAAGTATAGCTTTATAAGGTAGTCAAAAAGAAAAGACAATTGAGCACCCAGTCAACAACCTAGAAAATGAAAGAGTAGAAATTACCCTTGATACATCCCCGTTTAGTGCAGAAAACAGAGTTTTGAAAATACGGTAAACTAATTCTCACTGTTCCTTTAGGGAAATTACATCCTAGTTGAAAACACCTTTGAACTTAATCATCTTTGCGTTATTTTGTATTAAGCAAATTTTCATCAGTTGGACACACATCCTTGAAGAGTATCTGAAATCTGCCATTGTCTCAGAATTAAACACAGCTGAGCCACCATGGTTTCCCGTGGAGCATGCGAGTAAGAGTCAAAGAAAGGATTATAAGCCCCCACCTCTCATAGGCATTTATTATTACATCATGTGACTGCCTTCTTGTGCAAAGCTTAAAACGGAACGTATAGGAACCCCCGAATTAGAGAGCCTCTCCCCCACCCCAGAGGAACTTACCGGAGTAATAAGTTTCTAAAATATACTTGATGTTGATTTTTTTTTTTTCTCTCTTTTAAATGTGAATTTGCCCTAAGATCTCTTCCAGGGGCTTGGCCTGAATCTCCCCCCTTTACCCGGTGTTTTGGGCCCTCACCGTGCACCCGGCTAGACACTGCAGGATTGCTGGGGAGGAAGGAGCCTCACGTTTGTGAGTGACCGAAGTGGGGCACGAACTGTGTGAGCGTTCTTTCTACTTCATTTCATTTGCCCCTCAAAAGGATACTGTCGTGGGACTAGTATCTCTCTTTGAAGGCAAGGTGGGGGAAAGGGCAGATTTTGAACAGTTCGGTAACTTGCTGGAGATGTCACCGTGTGGAGTGGCAGCATCACCGTGACATCGGGAGCTGGGAGTCACTCTGGAGAAGAGACAGTTCGGAGGCAGCTGGCTCCCGGCTGGACTATGAGAATCTTGACTCTGAGCGGTTTATGTCCGAGTTTGGGGTAGACCAACAACGATGGATTGGGGCGCTTGCCTATTGCGGTCATGGTCACTCCATGGTCAACCATGATTTGGACATAATTTGGATTCTTGATTGTTGCAATATGATGGCACTTGTAGGGCACCAAGAAAATAAGACTAAAAAGATTCTAATGCTGTGTATTCCTCCCTATATTTGTTTCCTAAGGCTGTCATAACAGAGTACCCCAAACTGGGGGATTTCAAGCGACAGAAATCCTGTCAGCGTTCTGGGGGCGGGAAGTCTGACGTCAAGGCGTCGGGAGGTTGGTTCCTTCTGCGGCCACGAGGGAGAATCTGCTCCTTGCCTCTCTCCTGGCTTCTGGTGGTTTGCTGGTGACCTTTGGTTTTCCTTGGCTCATAGATGCATCACTCTCAACCTCTGCCTTTATCTTCACGTGGCGTTCTCCTTGTGTGTATCTCAGTGTGTCCAGATTTCCCCCTTTTGATAAGGTCATTGGTCCTATTGGATTAGGATCCACCCCAGTGACTTCACTTTAACTTGATTATCTCTGTAAAGACTGTGTCCAGAGAGGGTCACATTCTTAGGTACTGAGAGTTAGGACTCCAGCAGATCTTTTTTCTGGAGGAGAGTGGAGGGGGACAATTCAACCCATAGCACCTCCATTCAGCATGGCGCCACAGAGTACCCACAACGCTCCTGTGCTTGACTTGAAGGCAGGATTCTCCATTGTCCAAATGGTCCAGGGATTCCGTGTGGCTTTCTTGGTTTTGGGGACAGTTGACAGGGCTCCCCACAGCCCAGTCTCTGCAGGCCCAGTAAGAAAAATAAGAGATTCTGAATTTTTTATTACTTTATTACTTGATACAGAAAGTATAAGGCCTGGTGACATCCAGTAATAATTGTTTTCCCTTGAGACACTGAGGGGTAAACTTCCTCTGAGTCTCCTTTAACAAAGCAAACAAGCATGGTTTCTCAACAGCGAGCAGCTTTAAGCAGGGGATTTGGGGTCTTGCGAGCTGTCCCTGTCCCAGCGTTCTCCGGGAAGGGGCACACCCTTGAGCACACCTTACTCTAGAACGATAGACGTTAGTCAGAGTGTGTTCCTTCTGTGAGTTTCCCACAAGGAGGAGAATGTGTTTGATTGCGCCAGGGAGTATCAGACCCCACATTTGAGCTTTCCATGAGGATCTTCTGGAACACCAAAGTAGGCATCCTAGGCAACCTCAAAATGGGGGTCTCTTCAGTTTATCAGTTGGTTCCTAAGCGTTCTAGGCCTTGGGGTGAGGGCAGTGAGAGGCCGAGCTGGGCCGGGGAGCTCTTCTCACTGTGCGTGTGTGTGTTTGCAGACACCAGCTGGAGACACCGGGACATTACTCCCATCTGGCTGCATTCTACGAGGACAAGAAAGGGGTGCTCCATGCCGGTCTGGGGAGAGGCAGCAGCCTGCCCCCCGTCTACTGGCTGCCTTCCATCCACCGATACATGTATCCCGAGATGAAGGTAGGGCTAGCCGTGCGCTCACATGGCCCTGGGCTCGAGTCTGCTACAGTGGTGGTGGTTTATTTATTTTTTTAATTAATTAGGAATTTATGTCTTGGGCTTATGCCCAAAGTCTGGTTTGGATAGGTTTCTGACCTAAGCATTTGGATTCTTGTAAAACACAAGGCAACAATGTGCTTTCTAGGCACTGCTGCGAGCATGGTGCAAAGCCGTGTGGGATGAGAGGCCCGTCATGGTGGGTTCCCAGCAGGGAGAAGGTGGACTTGATTCGGTTACTGGCTTAGATATTTTAAAACCAGACCCTTGAACTGAAAAGATGAAAGATGAAGAATGTAATGAATAGATGTAGTATTTCATAGTTTCCATATTTCTGATGCTACTTAATTACGTATTTGTTCTGAAGTCCTTTGCCTGTGTGCTAGAATGTGTTCATTTACAGTTCACAAGCGTGAGGTGTTGGGAGGGTACAGAGATGAGTATGAGCATGAAGTAATAAATATATTTATTGAAATTATTGAAATAATGAAAAAATTTTTTAAAGATTTATTTATTTATTTTAGAGAGCATGAGTGGGAGGGGGCGAGGGAGAAGGAACCTCAAGCAGACTCTGCGCTGAGTGCGGAGCCTGACATGGGGCTTGATCTCACGACCCTGAGATCATGACCCAAGCTGAAGCCAAGAGTCGGGCGCTTAACCAACTGCGCCACGCAGGTGCCCCCAATAATAATGAAAATTTTGAAATATTGTAAGAATTACTAAAATGTGACACACAGATGCGATGTGAGCAACTGTCGTTGGGAAAATGGCGCCAGTAGACTTGCTTGATGCAAGGTTGCCAGACTTTCAATTTATAAAAAATGCAGTATCTGCGAAGCCCCATAAAGTGAAGTGCAGTAAAATGAGGTCTGCCTGTAGTTTGACTGGGATTGAATTTCTATGTCAACTGACCAGGAGAGAAATGTTTGGAAAAATAGGTTGGAATCAAATTGTAGAGAACCTTAAATACTTGACTATGGAATTTGAACCCAGTAAGTACCAGTTAGGGTCTTGCCAGGAAAACACAAACTACGTTAGATATTCTAAGATACTTTAATTTACAGGGAATCCATAATCTAGGCATTAGAAGACTGAAGGAGCCAAAAGGGAACAAGGGAATCTAGATATTTGTAATTATAGACAACTCCCACCTTCTGTTAGTTATCTACTGCTGCATTACAAAGTACCCCCAAATTAGTGGCTTAAAATAGTGCATATTTATTATCTCACAGTTTCTGTGAGCCAGGAATTGAGGCATGTTTTGGCTGGGTCCTCTGCTTCATGGTCTCCCATGAGACCATAGTCAAGGTATCAGCCAGGTCTGGGGTCTCGTCTGAAGGCCCGATTGGGGAAGTATCCACTTCTGAGCTCATGCAGTTGTTGGAGGATTGGTTTCCTTGAGGGCTAGTGGACTAAGGCCTTCAGTACCGCTGCCTCTTTGTTGTCCTCAGTCCGTGGCCAGATGGGTCTCTCCAACATGGTGGCTTGCTTCATCAAAGTCAGCAAGTGAAAAAATCTCCTAGCAAGATGGAAATCAAAATCCTCTGTAACCTAACTGGACATGACAACCCTGCAATGTTGCCATCTTCTGTTGGTTAAAGCAAGTTACTCAGGAGAGGGGATTACATAAGGCTGTAAATACCAAGAGGTGGGGATCATTGAGGGCCCTCTTAGAGGCTGCCTACTGAATGCACCCTCCCAGGGGCTTGAGGAGGGGCCCTACACAGCCTGTGCTCAGGTGTCTTAGGCACTGTGCACCTGCTGATGCTGGACCTGCTGAGGGGCGTGGCTCAGCTGGAGCTGCTGGGAGAAGCTGGAGGCTAGAGTCAGAGATGTCCTCTGCTGCTGGCGAAATACCAGCAGGAGTGAGAAACTGAAGAGAGCTCCTTCTCCCTTCCTTCTGCCTTCCAGTTGCCAGTCATTGCATCCCAGGGGAGGAATATAACAGGAAGCCAGCTGCCATGGGAGTCCAGGGAACGTCGCTTAAAGATTTCCCCGCACCATGGCATGCCCTGAGAGGCAATAATTAAGAAATGGTCAGAGGGTCATTAAGGCGATTCTGGGTCAGTATTGACTGAACCCTGGATCCTTTCCTTGCCACTCCTAACTCTGACCCGTTTTTTCCTTCTCAAATTGCTTCTGGGCTATCTCAAACCCACAGGGAGATGAGCAGCATCTGACCTGGGTGTCCCCGGATTCCACTCCCCAACAGGCCACGAAGGAGGGACAGAGGGGAGAGAACGTAAAATTGCCTTCTGCTTTTGCTCCCTTGAGGGCAGCTCATTAACATACATGTCAAATTCTAGGTGATGCAGGGGAAAGGGTACTTTGCGATAGGTTGCAGATGGAAATGTGAATGACCTTTTTACAAAACAATTTGTTAGTACTTACTAAAAATGCATGTACCCTTTGCTTTAGCAATCCCACTCCTTAGGATCTGCCCTCTATTTATAAACCACCAGAATATAATGATGTCTATATAAGAATGTTTTAAGTCAGCATTGTATAGAGTGGTAGAAAATGAGAATGCCCCATATATCATATAGCCAGTATAAATAATGAATTAGAACATACGTCACTGACGTGGAAGGTCTACCAGGAAGTGTGTTTGTGTGAGAACAGCAAAGTGCAGAAAACTGTATGTGATATGATCTTGTACTTTTGTAAAATAATCACAGCCTCAGGGGTAGGTATAAATACACACACGCATACATCTGCATGGGACAATGCTTGGGTGTATACAAGGTTATTAATACATATATTACCTGGGGATGAGATAAGATATGGAGGGATGATGCATATATGTGTGAAAAAGGAAAGGACCAGGAGGAAAATGACAGCACGTGAAACAATGATATATATATATGATTCCAGTGGTCGTTTATGGAATATCACATGTATGTACATATAAAGAAATGTCTATAGAAGCTTTCTCTTGAAACATAATATTTTGTAGCCACAAGTTTAAAAAAATCCACATATATAGTTCAGTGAATTTTTACAGAGCGCACACACACGTGAAGAAAAGTTTAAGTTTTTAAATTCGGGGTCAGATCTGAGATGGTTGCAGAGTCAAAAATCACTGGCAAGGGAGGAAGGAAGGCTTGAGGCCTCTCTGAGGGCCCCGGCAGTGCCTGGTAGATGCCCCGCTTTGGGAAGTGGGGAAGTGGGACAGATAATAGGGACTGAGCCCCAGGGAGCGGATGGAGTCCCTGGGCAGGGATTCGGGATAGAGGGGAGGCAAGGGATGGAGAGAGAGCCCAAGGGTTGCTGGCCACGGTTAGGGAGTGAAGAGAGCCTGGAGTATGTCCCCTGGAAGGTCGGAGGGAAAAACGTGAAGGAGGGAGCTGCATAAGTCAGGAAAAGAGTTTCCTATAAAAGCTACGGCAGAATGAGGCCCAGACCCGGGAAATAGATTTAGGTGAAAGCAGGAGAAATGTCCCTCAATATAACCCCTTCCCGCGTTGCCCTGGCATAGTCCCGGCCCAGCGCCTCAGTTACTGGCAGTTCTCAGGAAGTGACGTGTTGTCTCTTGTTTCTGGGCCTTTGCACATGCTGATCCCTCTACCAAGAACACTGTCGGTCTAGTTTCTCCTTCGTGTTCAAGCTGAGACACGCTGCCTCCAGGAAGTCTTCCGTGTCTCTCCAAGAATTGGGTCGGGCACCTCCTGTGTGTTCCTGCAGCGTCTGCTGCCTCCCATCAGCTCTCAGGCTGGGATTTGATCGCTTACACCTGCTTCTCCCAGTAGTCTCTATACTATATGAGGGGCAAGGGCTGGGCCTTTCCAGAGTTCATTGTTGGACCGAGCCTGCTTAGCACAGTGTTTGGTGCAAAGTTAGCATGTGAGAAACCTTTCTTGTCCGAGTGTATCCGTGCTTCCTTGAATGGATGAATAAATAAGACCAGAATTAAGGATTGATCGTTTATTCTGGGATCCTAGGGCCCAGGACACGTTTGGGCAAAACACTGGCAGGCCTTCATGCAGTAGAAGAATGTCCTCAGGGCTGAGGATCACCAGAGGGGAGGCTGGAAGGGGCCCGCAGGGCCTGGGTTCCCGTTCCTGTCTCATTGCCTTAGTACTTTTTGTGAAAGATTGGGGTTGGAGGAATCTGACCAGACATGGTGGTTCAGTGCCTCTCCTCCCGGAGATCTGGGAGAGGAGTAGGCACAGGGGTGGGACAGGGACCCTCAGAGGAGGGCAGCCTCTCTGCCAGTGGGCGGGAGGGGGGGGGAAGCGCAAGTGAAAGGCACAGGTGCGGGGACATCGCCCACCCTGGAAAGGGAGGCTCATGCTGCGGGTCGCCAGGGCTCCCAGCCCCAAGCCCAGCACCGGCCTCCCTGTGGGCACAGCTCCTCGGAGGTGCGCTCACCAGCGCCCCCAGTGGGTGGTGAGCGCTATTGCTTCGGACACTTGAGCTCGGAAGTGACCTTCCAAAGCGCTCCTGAGGAGCAGAGCTTGAAGACTTCCTGTTTCATCAGCACCTGCAGGCTGAGCATTTCATGTGTTTTTCCTCAGGTGGTCCTGAGAGCCATGTGAGGGGCAGGATGGTCTCCCCATTTCACAGATCAGGAGAGAACAGGGAGCGTTGGCTAACTTCCTCAAGGCCGCCCACTAGTAAATGGCAGAGCTGGGATTGGAATTCAGCTTTTCCGGGGTCAGAGCTCCTGGAGTCTTCCCAGCTCAGGGCTCCTGAGGGGGTAACAGGCTCCTTGCACTTGGCAGGAAGGAAGAGGCTGGACCCCACATACAGCGGTTATTGGGCAAGGGGGCCCGTGAGGTCCTCCTGCCCGTAACCTGCACAGATACTCACCTGACACAGTAGCAGTCTCCGTACGCTTGGGGAGCTCATCACTGCACCCCTTCCGGTAATGGTTTTGAGCTGAATGTTCTCCCAGCCCCAAGCCCAGCACCGGCCTCCCTGTGAACCATTAGGGCCCGGTAATGGTTTTGAGCTGAATGTTCTCACTGAGGGCATACTGTTATTTCAGAAACTTCTCTTTCTGACTTTTCAAAAGCACGTTCAGCATTGTTTCTTGTGCGCCCCTCTCTACTGAGCAAAGTACTTAATGATCCCGAAACTCAGACTTCATCTATTGTATCAGGGGAGTTTTTGGAGTATTGAAATCTCATTTAAAAGTGAGACTTTAAAGTGAACAATACCATTTTGTGTAGAAGTAACCGTCCCTTAGTGCCTCTGTTGGTTGTGGTCTGGAGTTTGTGGGCTGGGTGGGGGGGTTGTTTAGCACACAGCTGTACTGAATCGTTTTTCACATTTTGAACAGGCTCATCTCTTCCTCTCCTTTATTTTTTCCAGATCACACACCCAGCTGGCTGCATGTCTCAGTTTATCAAGTTCTTTGGAGAACAGATCATCATCCTTTGGAAATTTGCCTTACTTCGAAAGCGCATTTTGATATTTTCTCCCCCTCCCGTGGGTGTCGTATGCTATAGAGGTAACTAGAAGCCAGAGTTGGGTTTTCTTTCCTAGGTGTCCTGGGGTAGCAACTGCTTGAGTCTTTGCATTGTTGACCAAGTTCAGAAGAGTTTGGGCTGTCCCAAGAGGGTCCCAGGTTTTCAGCCTGGGAATGCCGGGGTTGGACTTGTGTTCTAGAATGTGGGCTCTGGCAGCAGAGCAGAAGGTGGGTTGGGGGACACATCCGTAGTCTGGTGAGAGAGAGTAGATGTGAGAGAAGATAGATTCTGATACACTGCGGAGGTAAACCTGGCAAACGTTGGTGTGTGATTTGGGTTGTGATTCTGATGTGTGTGAGGGAATGGAGGAAGGGTCTAGGATGACCAGGATGGTGGGGCCACCAGCTGGGGGTCCCGGAGGAGTAGAAGGGGTGGAGTGGATAGCATTGGCTTTGTATGCGAAGTGGACACCAGGCGCTGGTGCGGCTGGGTCAGGACCTTGGGGGAAAGGCAGGCTGGAGATGAAGATTTGAGAGTGGCATATAGAGTGCCGGTGACCGCGGGCTGGATGGCGTCCCTCGGGGAGAGCGCGAGTGAGGGGAGGTGATGCAGGCACTCGAGGTGATGCAGGCACTCGAGGTGAAGTCATACAGCGGGACGGCAGACGTGACTGAGCGGGGGCGGTCGGAAGAAGGGCGGGAACCGGGAGATGCGGGGCTTACCCCAGGCAGGAGCTGTGGGGAAGGGGAAGGTCACCAGTGCCAGATCCTAAGCAAGACCTCGTGAGGTGAAGACTGGAAACCGTCTGTTGGCTGTGGTAAGGCGTCGCTGGTGTCCCTGGAGATCGGGTTCTGCTGTGGGCCCCGAAAGGCTCGTGGCCCTGCCCCGTCCCCTCAGAAGGCCAGAGCCCCGTGGTGACTCAGGCTCTAGGACGGCACGGGCGAAGCCTCCCCAGCGTCCTTGGAGGCTGACTGCTGGGAGGGGTGGCCAGCAGGCTGCCGGGGCCGAGGGGCACACTCCTCCTCCTGCCCCTCCTCTTCTCCCTCCCGCCCCCGTCCCACAGTATATTGCTGTTGCTGTCTGGCCAACGTCTCGCTGCCGGGCATCGGGGGCACCGTTCCTGAGTCCAAGCCCTTCTTCTATGTGAACGTGGCTGACATCGAGAGCCTGGAGGTAGAGGTGTCCTATGTGGCCTGTGAGTACGGGGCCCTCCGCGCGTCCTGCCCACACATCCTTGCCCCGATTCCCCACGACAGCCCCGCTGGAAGCCGGGCTCTGGCCTTGCGGCTCCCCAGGGGCCCTCCTCCTCGCAGACGCAGCGCTCCTGCCCCTCGTTTCCTTGGTGGGGTCGGGCGGGTGCCTTTCGGTGCCGGCCTCCAGCTTGCCAGACCCTGAACTTGGATGTCCCAGGCACCACAGAGAAGATTTTCGAGGAGAAGCGGGAACTGTATGATGTCTATGTGGATAACCAGAACGTGAAGACACACCACGACCACCTGCAGCCCCTGCTGAAGATCAACAGTGCTGACCGTGAGAAGTACCGGCGGCTCAATGAGCAGAGGTAGCGGGAGCCTGCCCGGGGCCCGCGGGCGGTGGGGGGCGCGGCCGAGGCCGGCGCGCAGCCCCACAGACGGCCCGGCGGGGGTCCGTCCGTGAAGCCCGTCCTGTCCACCCCCGCCCCGCGGTTCGTAGCAGTGGCACGTACGTGGGCGGTGACTTCTTTCTTTTTTTTTAAGATTTTTTTATTTATTTGCGAGAGAGACAATGAGAGACAGAGAGCAGGAGAGGGAGGAGGGTCAGAGGGAGAAGCAGGCTCCCCGCCGAGCAGGGAGCACGATACAGGACTCGATCCTGGGACTCCAGGATCATGACCCGAGCCGAAGGCAGTTGCTCAACCAACTGAGCCACCCAGGCGCCCCGGTGACTTCTTTCTGACGGGCTCGGAACCTGGGCGGCCCAAGGGAGAGCACCAGCCTTTAAGGAGCACCCAGTGAGCACAGTATTGCCCACGTGCTTATTCCTTATCTCACGTAATTCTCAGTAATCCGTGACACGAGCGGTCTCATGTGGTATCGGTGGCGAAATAAATAAAAGCATCACCATCATCCCTGTTCGATGGGCATTGAAGAAAGATCGCCACTTGCCTGAGACCACACGGGGCCGGCACTGGCCCTGGACCCCAGGGGTTGGACTCCAAGCCCCATTTGTTCCTTTCCCGTCATCCATCTCTCCAGGCTTTGGGGCCAGGGGTTGGGGCTGCTCTTCCGGGGAGTCGGGGGGTGGCCCATGCAGGGGCCTGACCGCTGACCTGGCCGATGTCGGGGGTCCTGTAGTGGCAGCAGAGCGTGAAGGTGGCCTCCCTCCCCACAGGCAGATGCTGCTGTACTCCCAGGAGGTGGAAGAAGAGTACAACCCTTGTGAGGAGGACCTCTTTGTGCTGTAAGTCAGCCTGGGCGGCACTTGTGGGGTTTCCCTGAGGATCCCGCAGCGCCAACCGCTTTGGGCCCCGACCCCTCCCCCGTCACCCTCGGCAGCCCAGGGATGTCCTTTATTGCTGCCAGGTCCACTGAGAGCTGGGCTCCGTATGGAGTCCACCGTGAGCCCTGAGGTGCCATCGGGGGACCCCCCAGAGGCGTTAAGGAGAGGAGCAGGGAAGTTCAGAGAAAACGGGAGTCCTCATGTGTCTCTCCATTGAGCGTTCCCCGCAGATGTCCGCTGCATAGACACCTCTGTCCTTCAGGCTCAGGGGCTTCTCCTCCATCGCCTCGTTCAAATAAAGCCGTTCCTCGCATTCAGTATTACGGGGTAGTCAGAAATTTTAACTTTTTTTTTTTTTAATTTTTTGTTTGTTTATTTATTCATGAGAGTCAGAGAGAGAGAGGCAGTGGCAGAGGGAGAAGCAGGCTCCCCGCCAAGCAGGGAGCCCAATGCGGGACTCGATCCCAGGACCCTGGGATCGTGACCCGAGCCGAAGGCAGACGCTTAACCATCTGAGCCACCCAGGCGCCCCAGAAATTTTAACTTTTGAACCCAGTGAAAGCTCTTTGCCCCAGATGTGTTGGTGGTCGGGGCAGGAGCCATGGTCTGTATACCTCACGGCATTTGTCTCGCTGCTGAGCGGCTGTGTGAACCAGCCCTCCGCAAGGAAGACGGAAGCGTGCTTGGAACAGACCGTCCTGCCAGCTCCCTGTTCGGTCTTCCTCCCCCGGGTCCTGGCGCGCGGGCGAGGAAGGGCCCTCGCAGCTAGGACCGTGCCTGCCTCGGAGGTCGAAAACGTCACGTTGACATTTCCATGGAAGGGCGGTGCTTTGGTTCTGATGGGGTGTACTTTCCAGTCCTTCCATGGTGTTGACGTGTGACAGTGTTTGGAATTGAGCAAAGAGCCCGCAGTGTCGTCAGGGTCTGAGACATTCCACTGCATCTGAAATTTCTGAGCATTGAGAGCTTCTTTGGGCCCGAGGAGCCTTTGCCGAACCTGAGAGCCCTGTGGGTACAGCTAAAAAGTCCAGACAGTGCATGCCTTTTCTGAATATGGCTTGTATGTTTACGTAGTACCACAAACCCGTGACATTTGAATCGTGCTCCGTGTATATCCCACCCCCCCAACCAAAAAAAAAACACCAAGGATGATGGGGGGCTATGGCGGGATGGGTGCCTACAGCTTCCACGTCCCCGTCACCCCTCTCTCCCAGCCTTGTTGGCCGTGGAACCTTCCCAGGCCTGCCCCAACTTCTGAGCCCCACCTCTGCTGTGTATACGGCCAGCAGCAGCCCAGCATGCCCTGCGCCGGCTCAGGCTGGGGGGCCCGGTGCTCAGGCTGGGGGAGCTGGTGGCTCAGGCTGGGGGGCCCGGTGCTCAGGCTGGGGGAGCTGGTGGCTCGGGCTGGGGGGCCCGGTGCTCAGGCTGGGGGAGCTGGTGGCTCGGGCTGGGGGGCCCGGTGCTCAGGCTGGGGGAGCTGGTGGCTCGGGCTGGGGGGCCCGGTGCTCAGGCTGGGGGAGCTGGTGGCTCGGGCTGGGGGGCCCGGTGCTCAGGCTGGGGGAGCTGGTGGCTCGGGCTGGGGGGCCCGGTGCTCAGGCTGGGGGAGCTGGTGGCTCGGGCTGAGGGGCCCGGTGCTCAGGCTGGGGGAGCTGGTGGCTCAGGCTGGGGGGCCCGGTGCTCAGGCTGGGGGGCCCGGTGGCTCAGGCTGGGGGAGCTGGTGGCTCAGGCTGGGGGCCAGTTCAGGACCCTGCTCCGTCCCCGCTAAGCCTCGCCCCTGCTGCTGGCTCCAGTGGCCTGTCCCCGGGCTTTGAAGGTGAATTTTAGTTCCTCACGTTCAGTCTTGACCTCAGAACCGCATCATCAGGGGGCTTTGGGGAGTTTTGTTTTTCCTTTCTCTTCCCCTTACAACCGGGAAGCAGAGGAACACGGTATCTCTAGTAACCTTCTGCAGGAAAGTTGGGCTTTGGCACTCAGGCCATCACTGGTTCAGAGACTTGGCCAATCACACGGTGATTAACGCCCATGGTTTCTTTGCTAAACTTGGTGTCCCTTTAACAACCCTGGAACTTTGATCCTATTCCCTTATTCTCAGGGGTATTTCTGAGTTTGAAACCATTTAAAATCATCTTACAGCAATGTAGTTTTGGTTCCTCGTGTGTGGATTATTGGGTGACCTGTTTGTTTTGGCTTTTCTGCCCTCCCTTCCCTGTGTCTTATCTGGTGAACGCAGGTTTTTCCTAGAGCAAAACAACCGGATATTTCAGACTTTGCTGGAGGTGTCCGCCAGTCAAGATAAAACCCTGACCGCTGAGCATGCCCGCGGCATGGGTCTAGACCCACAAGGGGACCGGAGCTTTCTGATGGACCTGCTGGAGGCCTACGGCATCGACGTCATGTTGGTCATCGACAACCCCTGTTGCCCATAGGAAGAGTGGGCCAAGGCTGGTGAGCCTCTCTCGCGTGGGGCTCTCACGCCGGGCCCCAGAAGACCTCATTTTTTTATTAAGTTGACGCACAGGACTATGGTTTCTACTTTCCAACAAATGTGATTTTTGCAGTCTCCTTTCTTCCCCTCCTCCCTAGTGGTAAGACGAGACCACCTTGGTTTTATGTCCTGCTTTGGTACGATGTGGGAATCTACCACTTTCTCCCAGAACTGCTGCCTGATTTGGTGATCAGAGCAGATTCTCTCATCTCCTTGTTGAGTGACTTGAGGGGCTGTGGTGAAGGCCATCTATCACTAGGAGCGGGCCGAGCTCTGCAAACACTGGGGCAGACTCCTCAGAGAGTACCTTGAGGTACTCGAGAATGAGAGAGCTGTCCCGGATGGCCGTGGATGTGCATCTCCTGGAGATGGAAGTTAGCTAGACCTCATGACCCTTCAAGGTTCTTCTCCGTTCCGGGAGTTCAGGGTTGGGATCAAATCCCTCTTCCTGTTCACTAGGGCAAACCTGCATCTTCTCTGTTCATGTGGGTAGAGACCTCAGAGAGGAACAAAAGGATGTTTCTGTCGCTAAGGATGAGCTTCTCTGAGGACAGAATGACAGGAAGAGGTTTCTTGCCAGCCAGCTGGAAATTCAAGTTGTAGAATGAAGCCTGGAAACTTCCCTCAGAGTAAATTAGTGGTGGCCCCTCCATGTGATACTGCCTTCTTTTCCCTGAGTCCCTCTCCTCTAGGGATGGCCCTGGAGCTCGCAAGCAAACTCATTTTACAGTGTAGTTTCCTTGAAGGGCTCACTATCCTCTTGGAGTAATTTTGGTATTTTTACAGAGTAATGTTTGTTGCTACCAAAGGCAGAGCCATTGGGGTTCAAACAGGAGAGAGAAGAGGTTTCTCCATCTGAGAGTTCTCTGGACACATCGCTGGCAGAGCCTCTGGATCAAAACCGAGACTGGCTGGGTTCCGTAGTCAAGCAAGCAAGGGTCTGCGCTGGTCGCTCCGAGTCCGGAGCAAGACTGGGTAGCAGCTCGGAGCCCTCGCCGATTTCTCTCTCGCGGAGAGGACGTTCCTTGAGCGAAGTAGTTGGGGCCAGATACTGACACGTGCGTCAAGAGCGAGAATTTGACAGTGCCTTCACCCGGGGAAGGGGTTGGAACCCCTGGGTGTCCGTGGTGAGTTCGCCTGCACTCCCCTGACATGTTTTGGTCTGACATGACTCCTGTCGGTCCCTGCCTCTTCTCTCCGGCCGGCCCATTGCAGGGACACCGACTTGGACGAGACGGGAGTAGCTTGAAGCTAGCTCTCGTGAGTAGATTTGAGGTCTTTGGGGCCATAGTTTAGGATTTGGACTTGGGCTCCTGGGTTGTTGGTGACCGTTTCTTCCCTTTGGACCTTCTGCCTGGCTGTGTCTTTGGCCTAGCCATCCACGGATCCACGTCTGTGCCCGGGTTCCAGCCGGGCTAATACAGCAGAGAAATAACCTTCGAATGGATGGATCACACGTTTGATCTCAAGACTAGCTTTTTAGGGCTCATTGCTTTATTCAGAAGTATTTTCACTGTAGCTCCTTGATACGGGATTCAAGACTAAAGAAATTCACATGGACAGATGGAAATACATCCTGGTTAATCAAAGTAGCATCTTTGATGTAAATATGTAAGTTTGGGCATTGAAATGTAAAGTGTACAACTAATACTCTTCGCTCCTCCCTGTGGGTTTAGCCATCATTTCAGTCAGATGTATTTTTACAAAAGAAGCTTCACCACCTCTTTCCTTGAAGAGCAGCCTTCTCTTGTCTCTGGGGAAGGAGCAGCCTTTCTGGCCTGGGTCAAGTAATGGTGACTTTCCGTGGTGTCTGAAGGCTCAAGGTTTTCGAAGTTGGGGGGGTGGGGTGTGTCTCAAGCAGGGGTAGGGGTGACAGGAAAGGTCGGATTCTCTCGGTGGACGTAGGCCCCCTTCCTCAGGACCCGAGGGGTCTGTTGGAAGATGACCGTCTTTAAGCACTTCTGCGCGCAGACACTTGTGTTTCTGGGGAATTGTAACTCCAGGTCACAAGTACTCGTGTAAAGGTCATAAGGTGAAAATGAGGTTCCGGTATTTTCCTTTGCATGGTGGGTAGGGCTCCGGGCTCCTTGCAGCTCTGCCCTCTTCCAGGTGGCTGTGTGGCCTCTCCGTGCGGTCCCCTCACACTCGTGCAGGGGGCAGGGGGATGGGCGCCGGGGGGAGTGTACAAGCGAGCCTGGGCTCAGCTGACCCCAAAACAGAACTTCTCCCCCACCCACCCCGTATCGCTTTTAAGGGAGAACCCAAGGACTCTGTCCTTCCCTTGCAGCTTCCCTCTGGGCCAGAAGCCCGCCGCCACACCCCCTGGCCGGCTGAGCAGCATGCCCGTTGGCTCTGTACTCCCCGTGGTCACTGTTCACCGTCCCCCGAGCGTCTCTTGCCTCGATGGTGATACGGAGCCTCTTGCTTCTGAGGTCACCTTTTGAAGACTTGCTCTGTACCCGACTCTGCTCCCGTCCCCCTGTCCTCCCCCGTGTGTCCGGTTAGCAGCCCACTCAGCATCATCTGCTGCCCCTCCGCTAAAAGGGGCACGGGGGTGTGGGGTACCTGGCAGGACTCCCCGCGGTGACAGCAGAAGCGAGAAGCCGCACGGACCTGCTTTTCTGTCATTGTTGAGCGGTTTCCTTAAAAGCCTTCTGCTTTTGTTCAGAAGACATGATCGGCAGCCTTCTTTCCTGCCTCATAGGTCCGTAAGCTCTGGAGGGGCAGGGATTCTTACCACGGACTCCTGAAGCAGGGCTGGAAGCCGAGGGTGGAGGAGCTTGACTGATGATCACCTTCTGCCCTCTCGACTGTTGAACCTCATCCCCCGCCCCCGCTCCCACCCCAGCTGGCTTGGTCCTCCCGAGACCTTGAAGCCTGATCTAATGCCATGCTGTGAGCCATGAGCTCACCTGGAAACACTGCTGACCCGAGACATCTGGGCTGCTGTCGTTTCTGAATTGAGTCTGACAAAAGCCAGGTGGCAAGGTGCCTTATGGGGCCAGGAATCCAGGCTTAGGGTTTATTGGTGTCCAGCAAAATGTGACAGAGTCCTATTAAAGTGGGATTTTTTTTTTTTCCAATTCTGCAGGCTTGGCAGATGGTAATATTCAGCCTTGGAGAAAATGTCCAGTTGTGCTCTGGCGTAGGATTCTCTCTCCAGAAGGAGTCAGAAACGGTAGGATTTATCTCCTACGAGAACCAGAAGTGTGGGCCGGACGATGGTTTAGCATTAACGATGGCTTTCATCAGGCACGAAGCTCTCCTCGGGCCTGGTGTAGATCTGTCCACGGCGCCACCTGGGGCCTCGTCCGGTCCTCAGTCAGGACAGCCTTGAACGAGAAGGCACCTGCCCCCCCAACGACTGCCACCCAGCATGGCAGCTCTTCTTCCGTTTGGCCAGGAAACGGGTGCTGAATTCATTGATCATGATAGAAATCATTGAGCCCAGAATCTGCATCTAGAACTTACCTTGTGTTGTTCCCCATGAACATCAGGGTGGGAATTTTCAGGGTAGCGCAGACCATTCTAAATACCACCTGTGCCGACTCATTTGTCAGCATAACTACCTGGTATTTTCGCCAGAAGATAAAGGTAAAGATGAATCATAGCTGAGTCGCTGTTTTTCATTCTGGTGGCTATGAGGATGAACTTGCTATTTGTCTTGATATGCTGAAAGCCTTTCTAACACAATAAAAAGATGAGATTATTCAGCTTGAAGCTGAGGCCTGCAGGGAGCCTTCAGGAAAGGGCAGTCGTGAATTAAACCGGCGGGGCAGCAGCCCTCTGGATAGAGGCAGGGACCTCAGGGACCTTTTGTTTTCCTTTTTTTCTGAAACTATAGCCAGGGAATGGATTGAGACGCTTTCTCCAAGTCCCTGGACAGATCAGACTTGCAGAGGTAAGGGGGCAGGAGGGTGCTGAATAAATCATAAGGCGATGGTCAGCTTGACCGTGAACTTTGTTTCGTTAGTCTGTCAGTTCTGAAACAGGCAAGAAAGTCAACATGGGGACCAACGTGTCATGCAGGGGCTTTCACCTCCCTGTCCGGTTCCTCGCTAGCAGGCTCGGAATCTGTGAGGTCCGGCCCAAGGATCTTCCCAGCGCACCTCACAGCAAGGCTCCTAGAGCCGGACGCTGCCCTCCGCTGGCCCGACCTGTCCCTTCTCATTTCAGGGAAACCCTTTTCTGATGCAGGTAGGGGAAGAGCAGGAGTCGAGGGCTCCTCTTACTCCTGAGTGGTGGATTTTTGGTATTCCATTCTAAGACTCATATACCTCTGTTCCCAGGAGCTGCTAGAGCCCCGAGTGTTGGGAGAAAGGCTGTGAATTAAGTTAATATTTTTCTTATAAGAAATGGGAGTCTATTTTTCTATCGATATTACTATGTGATGAATGGAGTGTGCAGATGTTGAAAGGGAAGGAGATTTCAAAACTATAAGCCTCGAAATGCGGAAGTTTTGTCATTTGGAAGCAACTGAGACCCCATAAAAGTTTTACTACTTGTTTGCGAGCGTGAATAAGGAGACGGTGCTGTGAAGTATTAACCACACTCTCTAGGAGATGAATGTGATGGTCCTGGGCAGGATGACGCAATCCCTGACCTTAAGGAAAATTCTTTTACAAAGCATGTAAACGTGATAATGCTGACTAGTGAGCCTCTTACTGGAGCGGTGTGGTTTTAGAACCTGGCACTTTAATTCTTTTCTGGAGCCAGAATACAGGGGCAGTTGGATGAAACTGCACATTTAGAAAGGAAGTAAGAATTTTCTAGTGCTTATAAATGATGATGGGGAAATAAAGCCCTTTAGAGTTATCCTAGAAGCTCAGCATAACATGGGCTATTAGCGGTAACATAACCTAAATTCAGAAAATTTATTTACTTACCTCGGTAGAAGGATAGGTGTGAATTACTTACGTTGGTTGTAGAATTCGGGTTTAGACTAACGATACATTTACTCTGCTTTTTTGAGGACAGGTGGGGAACACGGGTAGGTTAGGGCCTTAGAAATTAGCCAGGGATGATCCAGAAAGTGAAAAATCCACACAGTGGTCACTGAGTTAGCTGGTTGCAAACGTATTTCATTGATGTTGGAGTGAAAACTTCCTTAGGCCAAATCAAGCGAAGATAAAAGGAGACAAAAATTTTGAAGGTGGCATCAGGAATAGTTCATATAGGGTGCCCACAAAGACCATCATTAGGAAGGGTATAGATTCTGTGCTTCTGAACAGACTAGGGGTGTAGAGGAAAGCAAAATTAACCCCCTATTTACCCAAGCTTGTTGGCTAAATTTTTTGTTACAGGTCCGGGACATAAACCTTTTCTGAAAAAGGAATAGTTGTAGCCTTGGAAAATGGTTTTTCTATTTTTTTCCCCCGTTAGGATCAGCATAGCCTCCCTTTCGCCTTAAGTGTCAACCCCCTATTTTGATTAATACCCCAGCATCAGAGTTAGAGCAATAAGAGACACTGAATCTATTTTTGTTTAAATTCTTTACCTCATAGTATGAAATTAGTAAGACAGTTGATGATTTTACCCTGAATACTGGTGCAGAGAGGTATGTTGTTCTGTTTCGAATGGTAAGAATTTTAATGGCCTAAAGAAAGCTGGGGTTAATCCTGAAGCTAGGAGTAAATGTTTACCTGATTTTGATCTGTGGTACCAGGAACATCCATGTATATCCTGTCTGTATATCTCTGAGCCAAGTTGTGGGCAGAGAGGTTGCTAGAACTATATTTACAGAATATGGTTTTTACAATTAAAATTCACATTTTAACACGAGCATGTGTGTGGCTGTCCTTCCCTGGCCCGAGAGGTGGGGTCTGTGCAGGAAGGAGGGGTGGCCTGGGGTAGGAGCAGGACCGGAGCGCGGACCTCACAGTGACGACGGAGCCCCCCGCCCGGCGCGTCTGGTGCCTGTTCTCCGTAAACCACCTCCAGGCCCAGGGGAGCAGAGCCGGGCCTGACCGCGCCGTCCAGGAGAGCCAGCTCTGCACGCACGCACGCGGCCACACGCTCAAGTTTTAAGGCAGCGCAGGGTAAATTCCTAAGGTCGCTGGCTCTTGTGTTCAAAGCCGGCTTCCCCCTTTCCGAGGTCCGTGACCGCCCGTCTGACGTCCCCTACTTCCTCGGGCTGGGGCAGAACGGAGGGAAACCCTTGCATGCGTAAAGAAAGTGCCAGCACGTCGTACCTACAGCTGTGGGCGCGGACCAGCCACGGCGCTCAGCACACGGCTTGTGGATAGAAAACAGCTGCTGGGCTTTCATTAGAAATCATCCTAGCTTTTGAGTAGAGCCTTGCAGAAGGTTTGTGCGTACAGGAGGTGGGGGGCCCTGGCTCTCCACATCTCTGCATCCGGGGCCGGGCTGACAAGGCACCCTCTGCGCTGCACTGTGGCTGTGTCCTTCCCGTGGACGCTGTGCAGCAGGACCGTGGCAAGAACAAGGCCGTGACCGGTAAGGAAACCGTTGTTCTTGCAGGAGCTAGCCTGAATCAAGAAAGCGAAATCCCCAGCAGGGATCACAGATTTCAAAAGGGATAAAAATAGTGATCTCTTAAATACCCTTCCCCGATCCTACATCCCATTATTTCACTGGGCGGATCAGAATCGCTAAACAGACGCCCCGGTAGCCAGCCGATCAAGGATGAAGCCAGCCAGCTTCTGTGCTGGTCCTTCACAATCAGAAAACCACGATGGTTCAGGACTCCCCTGGCTCCTGGAGAAACGTTCCCCCTCCCCGCTGTGGGCACTGTGGAGCAGCGCTCCTCCTGCAGGTTCGCACCCACCTGTTTTTGGGCGGTGAAGCACAGCTTGTAAGAATCAGAACCTCTGAAGAATCAGAACTGAACAGGTAAGCCTGGTGGTTTGTGATCTTTCTTCATACGCTTTATAATCCTTCTAAGCATTGGTCTTCACTCTCCAAGGGATTCATGGGCAAGGTATACGCGTACGGTCCGAAAACTGATCTGCCTGGGGAATGAGCCTTTGGCCAAAGCCTGTGAGTTCTGCTTCCCATTTCCCCCCTTCACCCCCATCCTCCCTCCTCATCCATTCTGGGCATTGCCCTCTGGAGTATGGAAACCTCGGGGGCAACCAAACACAGGAAAATCCTGATAGTACTATTAAAAATCAATGATTATAAAGCCTGGCTTACAGATCCTTAGCAAATCAGGTACTTTCTAGTTCTCTGCTTTCAACAAACTAAAGGAAGATCTAATCAAGCTACTAAATTCAAAGAACTGTAGGACGTTAGAATTCTTTGTCTTAATTTAGGTACTTAGATGTACAAAAAAAATGAAACAAGGACTATAAATGGTGTTGAGTCCTGTTTTAATCTTAGCTGTAAATAACGTTCTTGAACTCAAAGTGTTAGTTTTTAATTATCAAAAATTTGCAGTATTGTTTTCGTCAGTTGTATCGCAGTAATTATAACAGTTAATCCTGTACTGAGTTAACACTAAAAAATTATTTCCATGTATATTTTTTGTTGGCAAGAAAATAGGGCAAGTGATAAAATTTCAGGCCTGGAAATAGATTACATTACAATAGCATTCTTTGCTGAAAGCGGAATGGAAATACCAAAGAACCTATTGGTTTATGTTTGTAAATGGAGGATAAGTGTCAAATTGCTGTACATTTAAATTGCACCAAATATGTTTAAAAGAGTGATATAACAGTTTTATTTTAAAATAGTATTTACATGACACCAGGAAACACATACTTTGGCAACTCTTAAGTTGATATCTGGAAACTGAGGGGATACATGATCTTTCAAAATACTTTTAGGGGGTGCATGAGCATAATAGTGGGGGGTATGCTTTACAATGCTGAACAGGTGAGGTTGGGGGACCTCTTAGAATAGAAGCACCTGGGGGAGGGTGCCTGCTTTTTAAAAATGCAGATTCCTGGGCCCCAGCCTCTGAGTGACCAGGATTGGGGTGGGCCCCAAGCCCGTCAGTTTTCAACATGCACCCCCAGGTGGTTCTCATGCAAACCCATAGTTAAGCACTACTATAAAAAAATAATACAAACTAGCCATTTACAGTGTTTCAGCCTTGGCTGAAGAGGGAAATACCTCCCCTGTTTTTGGATTGAGGGAAGAACTGAAACAAGCTTAATTTGAATCTGAGCTCAGAAAGTAGCAGCACCCATGGAGAAGCCAAGAAAAAGGACAGCAGCGGCGGGGGGGAAGGCCCCGACGGTGGCTGCACGTGTGGGGATGACCGAGGTCGGGCCCTTTCCCAGCGGACGGGCGGGGGGGGGGGGGGGCGCCTTCTCTCCGGGCTGGGTCGCACCTGAGGCAAACCACCACGGAGGAGGGAGCAAGGCGCACAGCCAAGGCTGAGCATGCGCTAGCGGGAGGCTCGGAGGACGGCAGGGGGAGCACTGCGAGGGCAGGGTACTTGCCATGGAGGTGCCCTGGGGTCCTGTGACAACACTGCGGGGACAGGGGAGGCTTCAGTTCCCTTGTGGTCCCATCCGAGGCCTAAAGTGCAGCGTGGGGGCGGCCGGCTCCCCCGACGGCTCACGGGGCCGCGCTGGGCAGCAGCTGTCCCCTCTTCCTGGGATCGCAGAAGAACTGCAGCTTCCTGGGGAGCAGCTTCACCTCCACGGGCATGGCCTCGTACTCCTCACTGTCGATGCTGAAGGAGCCCCCCGTTCCCTGTGGAGAAGAGGAGAGGGGGGTCTAGCACCTCTGCACCAGGAGCCGCTCACCACGGAGCACAGCATCCTCTCCGAGGATGGAGACGGGCACGGGGCTGCTTCTGGAAATCTCCCAATTCTGCTATCTGCTTTTTGTCTTGGGGGGTGGAGGGGGGCTTCTATCGCCTCCCAGAGTATTTTGGGACTTGAGAAACAAGGCCATAATTTAAAAATACTTACTAGGATACAGGGGTCCTGCCATACCTTCCAGGAATTCATTAACATACAATGTTCTAGGACCTTGTCGGCCCTCATCTTAGGAAAGCTGTGATGCCCACTGGATTATTTTCATGGTTCTTCTTGAGGACTTACTAGCTTTATCCCTCAAATACAGCAGCATTAATGTTACAGATTCTATAAAACCTTCCATAATTCATGCATTTAGTTCAACATTTGCTATGCTGAAACTACAGGGCCACCCACTCTGGGGGATAGCGTCTGTTTTACTACAGTCCTTTCTGAATACCGTAGGGTAACGGTCCGGAGTCTGCAGAGGCCATCTGTGGTAACTTTCTCCTGAGGCATGACTCCTAGAATAACTATAGAATTTAGATTATATTCCTAACGTTTTCCTCTCTTATATAGGTTATTCTAAGCTTGGCATTTTATACTACAGGAAAACTCAGTGCCATCCCAAAAACGGTTTCCAGATCCTGTGTTTAAAGAAAAAGTAGGATCCATGATGAGTATCTGCCAACTAGAGAATTCTGTGTCTTACAACACAGTAACCTCTGCACAATGTCCATTCAGAAAAATAAAGGCTCA